AGAAAGAAAGAAAGAAAGAAAGAAAGAAAGAAAGAAAGAAAGAAAGAGAGAAAGAGAGAAAGAAAGAGAGAGAGAAAAGAAGGGAGGGAGGGAGGAAGAAAGAAAGAGACAAAGAAAAGAGAAAGAAGGAAACAAAGAAAGAAGGGATGAGGAAAGGAGGGATGAAGAAAGAAAGAAAGAAAGAAAAGAGAAAAAAGAAAGAAAGAAAGAAAGAAAGAAAAGAGAAAAAAGAAAGAAAGTAAGAAAGAAAAGAGAAAAAAGAAAGAGAGAGAGAGAAAGAAAGGAAGGAAGGAAGAGAGAAAGAAAGAAAGAAAGAAAGAAAGAAAGAAAGAAAGAAAGAAAGAAAGAAAGAAAGATTGCAAAAAGCCAGTCTTAAACTAGCACCTAAGCTAGGGTTATACTAAAGCAAAAGCAATACTGTGCTCCTAGAGTCATTACAGAAATTAGTTCCAACCTCAAGTATTCAAGAATGCATTATTTCACTACTTCTGCCTTCACAACACCAGTTAGTCATATACAAAAGACTGCCGAATCTCGGCATGTGTAATTATGTCTGTGTCTCGAATTAGATTCCGTTGAACAGTATGTCTGTTTTTATGCCAGTCCCAGGCTAGTTCTGTTACTCTAACTCTGTAATAGAAGTTGAAATCTGGGATAGTGAGAACTTTGACAGTTTTCATTATTCAGGATTGTTTTTTCATCTATCATGGTTGCTTTGTGTTTCCACATGAAGTTGAAGATTACATTTTCACGTTTGTGAAAACTTGAGTCATATTGCTCTAGCTAAGACTTCAGATGCTCTAGTGAATAAGTATAAAGAGAGTGGGCATCATTGTCTTGTTCTGATTTTAGTGGAAATGCTTTATTTTTCTCTTTTTAGAATGATATTGCTGTGTGGTTGCTGTAAATCACTTTTAATATGTTGAAAAATGTCCATAATATCTTCAGAACTTTTATCATGAGGGGGCATTGAATTTTTTTCAGAGGCCTTTTCTGCATCTAATGAGATAATCACATGCATTTTTATATTTTAGTTTGTTTATATGCAGCATTGCATTTATTGGTTTGCCCATGATGAACCACCCTGCATATCTGGGATGAAACCAACTTGGTCTTGATCGATAATTTTTCTGATGTCTTGGATGCTGTTTGCAAATATTTTATTGAGGACTTTTATATCTGTGTTTATAAGAAACATTGGGTTCTAATTTTCTGTCTTTTTGGATCTTTATGTGTTTTAATATCAAGATAGTAGAAACTTTGTAAAAATGATTAGGAAATATTCTTTCAGTTTCGGAGTAATGTGTTCTTCTTTGAGAGACTGGTAGAATTCTGCACTGAATCAATCTGGCCTTGGTGGAGTTTTTGTTTGTTTGTTTGTTGGTTGGTTGGTTGGTTGGTGGGTTTGGGGCTTGGATGGGAGAATTTTATTTATTGCTTCTCTTTCACAAGGGCATGTGGACCCATTTGTTTATTTCATCTTGACTTAGCTTGGTAGGTTGTATATATCAAGAAAGAAACTCTCTCATTTCATTTAGGTTTCCCAGTTTGATGGAATACAGATTTTTAAAATGTGTTATTATGATTCTCTGAATTTTGTCAGTGTTTGCTGTAGTACCCCTTTCATCTTTACTTTTATTAATTTGTTTCTCTTCTCTCTATCTTTTAATTAATTTAGCTAAGAAGGTGTGAATCTTGTTGATTTCCCCCAAACCCCAATCTTTATTTCATTCATTCTTTATATTTTTCTTTGTTTATTTCTATTTCGGTGATTTCAGCCCTGTTTTTGATTGTTTATTCCTTTTTATTCCTTTTTGCTCTGTTTGTTTTTCAAGACAGGGTTTCTCTCTGTAGCACTAGCTATTCTAGAACTAGTTCTGTAGACCATGCAGGCCTCAAATTCACAAAGATCTGCCTGCCTCTGCCTTCTGAGTACTGGAATTAAAGGCATCTTTTGTGATAGTATTTCTTCTTGGTTTTTTTCTGGAGCTTTTAGATATGTCACTAAGTTATTAATATACAATCTCTCCAGGGATTTTTTTTTAAGTTTAGGCACTATAAACTTGCTTCTTAGACCTGCCTTCATTGTCCCATAGGTTTGTGGATGTTGTGTTTCTACTTTCATTCAATTCGAAAAGACTTTTTTCATTTCCAACTTGATTCTGGACTTGATTCCTTTTTTTCATTCAGTAGTGAGATGTTCAGTTCCTTTGAGTTTGTAAACTTTCTATTACTTCTGTTGTTGTATACATTTATTGTATATATACATAAAGGTATTAAACTATTTTCTTTTACAGGAATAATTAGAATCCATCAAAATGTCAGGTAAGATTTTATTAATTTTCTAATTTTTATTTTCTAATTTTTTATTAGTTTATTAATTTTCTAAAATTAATTTTCTAAAATTATTATTTTAATTCAAGTGTCCATGTGTGAAGCTGGACCTACAGTCTAGCATGGGTGCTAAGACCTCCACTCCATCTGGGTCCTCTGCAAAAGCCATAAGCACCAACTGCTGGGCCCTCACTGTAGTCCCAATTTTACTATTTTTTAAAATGTTTTGTTTTCTCATGTGAGTTATCTGATTGTTTTCTTTGAAAGGGTATATTTTATTCTGACATATCTGAGCCTTTGCACCATTTGACCCTTTAGATATATGTGTATGTAGGTTCACTTGTACATATTAATGCTCTGTAAGAAAAGGAGTAAAAACAGATCATATTTACATTCATGCCTGAAAGGTTTGTAAGTGTTTAGCAGAAATCAGGTGAAGCAAAAGAAAGATGGGAAAGAAAAATCCAGACAGACAGCAGCAGTGAGGGGATGTGGTGACCTTTGGCTTGGAGGCAAAAGAGTCAGGTGGTGATTCTGCCTCACAGTGAGGGTCTTTTGTTTCCTCTGATATAAAATTCAGCCATTTATTTATGAAATTGAGATCCTTTCTTGTAGTGAGTCAAATAAGGATTTCCTTTCACCTTTCATCTCAACATAGAGAAGAAGATATAGCACAATGCAGTGGCTTTTGTACCATCCTTGCAGCAACCTCTGTGACACTGGGACCAAGTGGCTTTCAGAAAGAACGCAGGAAGAGTATGAGTCACAGCAGACATGGGCTGAACCAAGTCTGACTGATGTGTTTAGTTCTAATAACTACTGAGAATTTATTTAATGTTTTCAGTTTAGATACCCCATTTCAAAAAGACTATGAAAAATCAGCTTTATCTTTCCAGTGTTTCTCAGACAAAAAGAGAAAGAATCTCTTTTGTCTGCAGGAGATTAACTGTGTAGGTGGGGGTCAGCAGGTGGCCGGCTGAACCATGAGCATGAAAGCTTAGGTTGCAGCCACCAGCACAGTGTGGTGTTTAGTTTCCTCGTTCAGTCTAACGTTCACGAAATTTATTAATAGGTGTTTTTCATAAGAAATATGAGTGTATTTTCTGGTGCTTATAAGAGACAAAAAAAAGACTGAATTTTGCAATCACGTTATCCCTTACTGTGCGGGTCATGTTCCTCTCTTCCTCAAGGTGTGGCCGCCACAGCCCCTGAGCAGCCTACAGAAGAAATGGAAAATCAGATAAAATCGCCAACCGCTGTACCCAATGTTCCTCCTGACTACAATTCTCATTTTGTACCAGGTAAGGTGGCTTTTCAGGAATCTCCCTCTTCCAGAATACCATAGCAATAGTTAAGGACAATTTCTCAGTCAACATTTGATTGAACACGTAAATACCAAGTGTTGATAGAAGGCCAGTTTAACATAGTCCTGTGATCCTAGGCTGTGAATTAGAAGGCACAGAGATTGGAAGTTGTAAAAGTAGGAATAATATTCTCTGTATTCTTAGTGGGCAGAAAAAGAGAACATCATGGGAATACAGAACATGGTACTGTCTGATGCTACCTGGGTTTGGAAGAAAATTGTATTGGGTAAAGCAGACTTTGATAGACAAGAAATGACTATAACAGAAAAATTACCCATGTTTGATAGACTAGGAAAATTATTCATTTCTTACACAGTGTTCATGAAAATCTGGTACGGGGCATGCATGAGTAAATGGCAGGAGGGACAGAGAAGGGGAAGGGCACAGCTGTAAGTGCTGACTACGACACTGTGGCATAGATTTTTATGTGTTAACACTACTGGAAGAGATTTGGGAAGAGGGGCTCCCACATAGTTCCAGAGTAAATTTGAGAGATTATAGTCATTTAAGGGAATAACTACACCATTTCCAAGAAGTAAACATTATTAAAATCAGGTTCTATTCACTTTTGGAACTTCTTGGTTTTCTCTATATCAAAAGAAACAAAAAGTGGACTTAGGGATTTAGCCCAATCATGAGACTTCATCTAGAAAATGAAGACTCTGGGCTGTCCCAGGAGACATCCTTCACATTAAATAGGCAAGTTAAAAACGTATTCAATGCCAAATGCACTGCTAAAGAATTGTGGCTAACAGTGAAAAGTCACTGTGTTCTCATCCTAGTAGCTAGGCCATATCCTTTAGTAATAGTTGACAGTTTCACACATGTATATGGTTACTGTCACTCCTCTCTCTTCTGCTGAAACCTTTCATCCCAGGAAATCCCTTCCTACTTCAGTCTCTGTCTCTCACTGTCTCTCTGTGTTTCCCTCTCTCTGTCATTCTTTCTCTATCTTACTCTAGCTCTCTCTCTGTGTCTATGTCTCTCTGTCTCCCTGTCTCTGTCTTTCAATGTCTCTGTGTTTGTTTCTGTTCTCTTTTCCCTGTTTCTTCCTCTCTCTCTCTCTCTCTCTCTCTCTCTCTCTCTCTCTCTCTCTCTC